CAAGTGTAATATCCACTAAAGCAAAGCTTAAGTATATAACACCAACAGCAACAACCGTCCCCCTAGCAACGAACTCTGAAACACTCCGGCAAATACCACAGTGGACCATGCCAGGCAGCACAACGAAACTGCTACAACTACCACCGCCACGGTCATTTTGCCAAAGTTTCTCCCAAGCCGATGAGGCAGCAGCAGCCGCCCTACCCTCATCAGCAGCAGCTCCATCCAACGCCGCCCCCACAGCAGAATGCCCAGCAGCCCCCACCCCTTCAGCAGCAGCATCAGCAGGCCCAACCGAGGGTTGGCGAAGGAGTTCGAGCACGGGTATACACGATGGCCCAGTATGAAGCTGAGCAGAACCAAGGCTGAGCAGTTGATCGAATGTCAGATTTGAGATGATTATTTGTTCTTTCTTTTGTTAGAATTTCATTTCTCTTGACTTTTAACGAACCTTGTCTTAGTCCCTTTGTCTTGTTAGACAATTTTGAATTGTGTTTGAGACTCCGTTATTCTGCTCAATTTCAGTACTTTGGAATTTTGTTTGCCTTTCTCTTTCTTTGCATGGGATGAGATTTCGGATGGAGTTAAACATTTTAAGTCTTTGATGATCCTTATCTATCCTCGTAAGTTGAGAATCTTGTTTTGTGATGCCTCTAATTCAACATGAAGTTGGGGAGACGAGAAGTGTTATTCCACCTTAAAAGATTTTGAGAATCTTTTAAGGAGGGTAGTCGTGCCAGGTGCAGGCACATCGTGAAGTGCAGGGCCGTCTTCTCTTTTGATATTTGTTCATCGTAATCTTTGGAAGCTCATTTAGGACTGCCGGCACGGTTAGCTACTCGACCAAGAGCTGACGTGACGGCCGACACGATTAGTCGGGAGAGTCGAGTGAGCTAAGCGTTTCATTATTCGGTAGTGTTTGGGATTATTCCTGGCTGAGGAACTGATCCTCGTTTTTTTGGGAAGTTTTCCTGACCTCTATCGTTTGTTCGATGGAGACTGTGTCGATCAGGGAGGTGGTGAACTTGGAACTCGATTTATGCCTTATTCAAAATTTAAAACCCTTGAAACTGTTGTAGTTGTTCCATACCTACATGATGGGGGAAATCGTTATTGATCAAACCTCAAATTGTTGTCGTTCGAAATTTTGGAAAACAATTTTTCCTCCCAATTACCTTGAATATGTTTACCTTTAATTTGGAGAAATTCTTCTCAATACCTCGAACCAAAAGTCAGCCCTGACCGGGTGTAGCCATGCGAAGTGGTGGCCCGGAACGCATGTCCATGCTGAGAGACATGAGACTAGTGCACAGCCGACCGTTGACTCGCACGCGAGCTGCAGCCGCCATCACCGAACGCCAAACTCACCATGCCAGTACGTACAGCTTAACCCTGACCTTGCAGTTGTTCTCCAAACAGGTACACACCCGCGTCCCAGCGCCCCGCTTATGCAGCGCCAGTGAGTGTGCCACCTCTCGGGAGACAGTGCATCGACAGTATTGTTGATTCATTTTGAAACCGTTCAACCAGTTTCTGTACCGGAATGTGTTGGAAAACCCCTTAAACCATGTCTTCTAAACCTTGAACCGAGAGATCCAAGTTCCACTGAACCAACGTATGATATCTCTAAATCACTTAATTCTTGATTAAGTGAGTTTGTTGATTATTGCTTAGCCGTTTGAGGGATGCCCCTCGAGCCGACAGGAATTTGAGGTGTTGCATTGTCGAGCAGAGTCTCGAGTCTGAATTGTATATTATGTAATCACCGTGGGATTGATGTTGGTATAAATTTCTTCTTGAAGGTCGCACCCCTGAGGGGTGTGGTTCGCTTCGAGAAGAAGGGGAAGCTTCAACCTCACTATATCGGATGTCAGAATCTCGCACGAGTCGAAGACTTGGCCTACCGGTTAGCTTTACCGACTGTGTTGTCGGAGTGTATGACCCCGAATACGTGGTGGACTTCGTCGAGTTGCAGGTCGAGCGAGGCCTTACTTATGAGTAGGTACCGGTGTTCGTATTAGACCGGAAGGTTCATCAGCTGAGGACCCAGGCAGTTGATCTCGTCGAGGTGCAATGGAACAGGCACGGCAAGTCTGAGGCGGCTGGGGAGACTGAGAACGAGACTAGGAGGAGATAACCGAACTTCATGGTTAATGTTGTATTTTAAAGTTTGGATGTTTTTAGTTTCAAATTCCGAGTACAGAATTCTTTGTAAGGTGGGTAGACTGTAACGCCCCGCTCGGTTATGAATAAATTAGATTTTATTATTATTATTATTATTATTATTATTATTATTATTATTATTATTATTATTATTATTATTATTATTATTATTGTTGTTGTTGTTGTTGTTATTGTTATTATTATGTGTTTTTTTATATTTAATTGTCTAATTTGCCTAAATGATTTAATGTGCTTAATATGAATTAAGTAAAAATATTATTTGTCTAATTGTCAATTAAATTGCTAATTTTATATTTTTTATTATTACTATTATTATTTTAAAATAAAATGTGTATAAAATATATATGTATTTATCTTATTTATTTATCGTTCGTTCGAGCCCGAGTATTATTAATCGTCGAACCAAGAATAGACCGCGCCCACATGTGAACCGACCCGAGCCGTATTTTCTAAATTCTGTGCCTTGTGTTTCGGTGTGATTTAGTCTTGGGGACTAAGATATCTCCTAAACCTAATAGCATGTATTTAAGAGGGATTAAAAATCCCTAAGCTCATATTATATTTTTTCCCGTAGCCTTTTATTTTATGCTCCTCACCTCTCTCTCTCTCGCCGTTCGAGCAGAGAAAGAATTCTTCTCCTGTCGTCATTTTCATCCCATTAAACCGCAACACTCCATATTCTTCCCTTCACCATCGTCATCATCATCCCATCTTTCTGTCACCACCGTCTGCGAACCCCGGCGTGAACCAGCAGTTCCCGGCGAGACCCTTTCCGCGCAGACCAGCAAGTTCCGGCGAGTGAACCAGTTTAGAGATCCTCCACGCAGCAGCACCTCCGGTGGTCCGTTCGAGCCCTGTTCCGACGAGTTCCAGCACGTCCGCGACCAGACCCTCGCTGCTGACGGTCGATGTCCCCGGTTCGCGCGACTCATCGCTATCGTACACGTATCCCCGATCGATCCACACAGTCCCAGGCCTCAGTTTCTGTTTGCACACCTTTATCGCCGTCCAACACCAGCAGACACGAACCGCTGTCCGCTCGAGCCAAGCCCTGCTGCCAAGCGCGTACCGTTGGCACCATTCGATCGTCTTGTGCTCGTCTATCGTTCGTACTCCAGAGAACGGTACAAGAGGCTCGAACCCCTTTAATTATTTGTGTTTATTGTATATTTTATGTCGATGCCTTGAGAAGTATGCATGATAAGGGCGTTATTTATGAGTTCATTTGCATTGTGCTCGTTATTTTATGTGAATGTGTATATTGCTTGAGTTTCTGTGATGAGATATTGAATTGGAGAATCGAGCATGTTGAGTGCGGTTATTTTATTTAATTTAGGTGATAAATGGTGTTGTAATTTCTAATGGTGATGCATAAGATATTGGGACTTAAATGTTGAAGTTTCGTTGTCAAAATCCATGATTTTTCGCAAAATTTTGTTATACTGCTTTAATGGCCCTCGTAAACTTGTTTTCTGAAGTCAAAACCTTCATATGAAACATATCTTATTCTGTTGTCTTTAGGTGAGCTTTGGAATCATGTTATTTCGATTTGAAACGAATAAGTTATGATTTTTACAAAAATATCGCGCGTAAAGATTTTTTAGAAAACCCGGCAGCATGTTAGGTTAGATGTTTAACCCGGTTTCTGTGTCGTAATGTGCTCAAACTGAAAAATGTTCTTCATGAATTTTGTATTGCTTTGAGTTAGGTTTCTGTGAGTTTTGGAATTTCATGATTTAGAGTTGAATTGAATTTATTATGAATTTTTTAAGTTGAAACTGCAAACATTTTTTGAAATTCTGTGCAAAATTGAGAATCATGATGTTGAGTTGTTTTTGACAATCTTAATGTGATTATGTGAAAATATGATCAACAAAAACCTTGTAGTATATGTTATGAGCTTTCTCTGAGAGTTGAAATCATATTAGTTGGAGTTCTGATTGATTTTATATGATTTTTCAAAGTTGGGGTTATGCCAAAATTTTTAAAACATTGGTTGTGTTTACGATTGAAATATATGCTCTGCAATGAGGCCCTTAACATGGTTACCTTGGAAATATTGAGACCATGTGAGTTGTTCATTCCCATTTTTGGTCTACAAGTATGTTATGTGTTATTGTTGAAGTGTGTGGCTAATTTATATCGCATGAGTGTAGTGAAGTGATTGTGTGTTGGATCGGCTTTCATAGGACTATTTTGTGTAATGTAAGTGTGTGACGAGCTGTGTCTCGGCCTACCTTTTTCCTCGAATTTCTGTGATTTCATCTCGGTATCTAGGTGGGTCTTATTTAAATTGCTATGCCGTAAGTTGTTTATGTTTTTATTGAAATTGGTATGATCAATGTGCATGTGAACCATGTAGCCTATCGATGTGACTGTTACGGCCATCGGTACGGTTGTCCCCATCGATGTAATACGGTGCCCTTGTGTGGCAGTCTCCCTAAGTCCTAATGAAAGGCCATATCGGACTAAGTCACATGGCATCCCTTCGATATGCGTATCGAACTAAGTCACATGGCGTGCTTTCGACATGAACTTTTATTGTCTGGTTGACGAGCTAAGTCACATGGTGTGCCCTCGAACAGGCCAGCGGTAGTCTAATGATATGTGTGTACACATGAGTAATGAAATTGGTATTTGTGAATGGAGATGTGACATGTTAATTGATTTATGATCATGTTGTGACCATACCCTTTTATGTCGTTATTTACGTGCATAGTGGTGAGGACAACAGTTCATCGTGCTCACTCCTACCTGCTCTTCATGGATGCAGGTTAAGCAGGTGCCGGCTGACGAGACAAAAGACGAGTGGTGTTGGTCTTTGACTGACCTCATTTAGTTTGTTCCGCATGCTAGGCTATTTATGTTTATTTATGCATTTATGACTTGGGGATATCTATGACTTTGGAATGGGAGATGTTCTCTTATGAATAGTAGTGACTTATGAACTTGGAATTTATAAAAATGTTGGATTTATGATATTTGATTTATGCAAGAATGATTTACGTGATGACGATTTATGAATTTATGTTGAGTAGCGCCACCTATTTATGAAAAGAATTTTGAATTTTTTTAAGTTGAATTTTTTTGAAAAGTTATTGACTTTCGTCAAATAAAAGTGGGGTGTTACAGAACTTGTTGGTCGAAGAGAGGGTTAGGAGGAGGGGCTGAGACCTCTTGTGGAAGTTTCTTGATCCAGGGGTAGAAGGCCAAGGGAAAGAGACATTAGGCTCGACGAAAGCAAATCTATCTATCCATTTAGGGAGATTGAAAGGAATGTCGTTGATGAAGTGAGCGTTGTTTCGGCTTTTTAGGTAAAGGCCTCGACCCTGTTTAGAAGGGGCATAGCATTAGTGGAAGAAGGCGAGGTCGAATCGACCTAGGCGGATGTGGCAGAGGATGATCAAGGTGGTCATGAAGCGGATGGCGTTAGGAAAGAGTTGGTGCAAGTGAAGCCCGAACCACTCAAAAATTTGGAGTAACTCAGGGTTTAGAGGGAAACGGTGTCCGAGTTTTAATTGGGTTTAAAAAAAGGTATAGCAGTTTTTTGGAGGGTGGTCGTAGGTGTCAGAAGGGGAAGGGCTAATGAAAGTCCAGCCATCAGGTTGGCCGATTTCTCGAGTTTTATCCAGTTGGTAGAATGGGAGGAAGAAGAAGGACGCCTTGAAGAGGTTTTGGAAGGGTTTTTGGTTGAAGGTTTTTTGGGGGAAGAGTTAGAAGTACCAGGCTGGGAAGAAAGAGGAGGAACGGTCGGGGTGTGTGAAGGAGCAGTTTGGGAAGAGGAAGGGTTGGCGGCAGCAAATGCTGGAGGGGTAAATCGAGAAGAATGAGAGACGGTATCAAGATCGTCCTCGTACACCGATTCATCCATTGAAACCAAAGGCGGGTCAACGACGACGGAGAGGAACGTTATCCATAGTGTCCTCGGAGTTATGAGAAGAAACGCGGGCAGAAAAAACGATGGTAGGAATGGTCTCGCCGGGATAAAGAATGGAGATATTAACATCGTCAAGAATGAAAGGGACTTCCTGAGCTGAATCAGAGGAGGTAGTGGTCAAGGAGGAAGATGTAGAGCTCAAGTCAGCACCGGAATGATGGTCGTTTTCATTGGAGGTCGCAGAGTCTGAAACAAAATAAAGTCAAAACGAAATCAAAAAGGGGAATTCTCGCGAAGGGAGGAAGAAGAGAAGAAACATTAAAGAAAACTAGGGTTCTACGAGGAGTCGATTTTGAGGAAATTGAGAAAGAGGAGCACGAATTCAGGGAGATTTTAAGGAAAGGAACAAAATTCACAGCAATCAGCAAGCAAATACAAGTACCCAACACACAAATTCAAAACACCCAGTCAACAAATTCAAGATACCCAATTTAAAAAATTCAAAAAAAGGAAAAAACCCGAGATACAGGAAACGTAAATTCAAGCGAGGAACAACTTACTCATAGTCGCAGATGAAAGAATCGAAAGAGCCTGAGGGGTGCAAAAGAAATCGCCGAGAACGAGAGCTAGGTTTGGACGAGAGATTTCAGAGCGCAAGAGAGTTTGAAAGGGCAAAGGTGAAAAAAGTCTGAAAAATTGACTAAGTGTTGATTTTATATGGAGGCTAAATAAGACGTGGAAGGAGGGTCGTTAGATGGAAGATAAAATCGAACAATTGAGTAATTAATGGATGCAGGATTCAAGAGAGTGCGAGACACGAGGAGGTGCAATGATTAAAGTACCTAACAAATGCGGCAGATGCGACGCGTGGCAAAAAAGCAGGCGCGGCAGAAAGGACGTGTGACAGATGACTTCATTGTTGGCGGTTGGAGGGAAATTAATTTGAAAAATAAGCGGGAAACTCATCAGATGACCGATATCTGACATAATACCACCCAGGAGGAAGATGAGCACAAATTCACTCTCAGATCAAGTCATTCAGACTCGACCAGAGTGGGGGTACTAGATGATATGGGATATTATACCCACAAGTCTAAACCGGTCTGGCGAACCGGTCGAGAGGTTTATCGGCCCTATTCGACCCAGGTCGGATATCTACTGCCGTTTCCACCGAGATTACAGCCACACCACGGAGAACTATAGACATTTGAAGGATGAGATTGAGAGGTTGATTCGAGCTGGGTACCTGAAAGAGTTTGTGTATCAGGATAGAGCAAAAGGGAGAGGAAGGAGAAGGTGTCGGGAGGATTCGGAGGAAAGAAGTGACAGGGACGAGGAAGGAGGCGGTGGAGATGGTCGAGATGGTCAAGGGAAGAAGTCGATGAGAGATGGCGATAGGGAAGGGCACGGAAGAGAAGCCCCGATGAAGAAATGGACGATTTACATGATTTCCGGAGGGCCAACAAATGGTGGCTCCAATAGGGCCAGGAAGGAGCATGCTCGAGCTGTGAAGAGGAAGAGAGAGGAGGTAGGAATTACGACTCGTATGCCGGTGATAAGTTTTAAGGCGGAGGATGCCGAGGGAGTAGTCCTATCGCACAACGATGCTTTGGTGATAACCGCGGAGGTTGCTGGCTTTGACGTGAAGAGGGTGTTCATTGATACTGGAAGTTCGGTAGACGTAATGTTCTATGACTGTTTTGTGCAAATTAATAAGGAGTTTAATATGGAGCTGAAGCCGGTGACCACCGCCTTTTATGGCTTCAATGGAGGAGAGGTGGTGCCGATGGGCGAGGTAAGTTTGCCAGTGGCGTTGGGAGCAGGAGAGCTGAGGAAGGTGCGCATGGTGAGGTTTGTGGTCGTAGGAGCTGAATCATCTTATAACATCATTATGGGGCGAACGAGCTTGAATGCATTCCAGGCGGTCGTATCCACGTACCACATGACGATCAAGTATCCGGTGGGTGAAAACGTAGGAGAGATTGTTGGGGATCAACTTACTTCGAGGAGCTGCTATCAAACAACGGTGAGCAATAACAAGCAGCTGTCAAAGAGGCAGACCAAGTCGAAGGAGGAGGAGGTTAATCGACCAAGTGGGTCGAGGTCAGAAGAGGATAAACAGAGAATGTAGAAGGGTAAGGAGAAGATGGATATCTAGCCAGGGGGAGAAGTTGAGGAGATTCAGATGATCGAGGGGTGTGAGGAGAGGAAATTCAGAATCGGGAAGGACCTGGAGGAGCCTATCCAGTCGAGGCTGGTCGATCTGGTTAGGGAGTTCGTTGACATTTTTGCCTATACAGCGGAAGAGTTGATGGGGATAAGTGCGGAGGTGATCGAGCATAGGCTGAACATCGACCTCAGTGTGAGGGCGGTGAAGCAGAAAAGAAGGTACCATGGGGCGGAGATGGACAAAATCATTGAGAAGGAGGTCGAGAAGCTATTGGGAGCATGGCTTATCATGGAGATCCAGTTCCCCGAATGGTTATTGAATACGGTGATGGTGTCGAAGGCAGAGGGAAAATGGAGAATGTGCATTGATTTTCGTGATCTGAACAAAGCATGCCCAAAAGACTTATACCCACTTCCCAGGATCGACCAGCTGGTCGACTCAATGGCGGGGTGCGAACTGCTGAGCCTGATGGATGCCTCCCAAGGATATCATCAAATTCCCTTGGCGAGAGAAGACAGGAAGCGGGTGAGTTTTGTAACGAGTCAAGGAACCTACTGATATGTGGTCATGTCGTTCGGCCTAAAGAATTCAGGTGCCACGTATCAAAGGTTGGTCGATAAAATTTTTAAGGAGCAACTGAGGAGGTATATGGAAGTGTATGTGGATGATATGTTGGTGAAAATCAAGGAGGGGTTGGATCATCTGCGAGACTTGAAAGAAACATTCTCAACATTGCGGAGGTATGGGATGAAATTGAATCCAGCTAAGTGCTCTTTTGGGGTGAGGTCAGGAAAATTCTTGGGTTACTTGGTGACCAAGAGAGGTATTAAGGTGAATCCTGAGAAGGTTCGAGCTGTAATGGAGATGAAGCCACCGATGAACATTAAAGAAGTACAGATCTTAGATGGTCGAATAGCGGGGCTGAGTCGTTTCATATCAAAGGTGGCGGAGAAAAGTGGCCCATTATTCAAAACACTGAAAAAGAGCTCGAAATTTCAGTTGACGGAAGAAGCGCAAAGGGCGTTTGAAGAGTTGAGTGGGGTGTTGGCTAACCTTCCCTTGTTTACTAAACCAGCGCAAGGCGAAGAATTGGTGCTGTATATTTCCATCGGAGAAAGGGCTGTGAGTTCGGTGTTACTACGAGAAGAAGGAGTGGCACAGTTCCTTATTTATTACGTAAGCAGGCTGATGCAGGGCGCAGAGATGAGGTACTCGGAGATCGAGAAGTGTGCTTTAGTTGTAGTGGTAACTGCTCGAAAATTGTGGCCCTATTTCTTGGACCATAAAGTGAAGGTGCGAACGAACATGCCATTAGGGGAAACACTCGGCCGGCCATCGGTCTCTGGTCGATTAATAAAATGGCAATTGAGCTGAGCGAATACTCTTTATCATATGAACCGAGGAGGGCCATAAAGGCGTAGGTGTTGGCAGATTTTATTCAAGAAGGTACTAAGGTCGATGAGGAGTCTGGAGGAGTGTGGCAGTTATTCGCGGATGGGTCTGTGGCCAGAAGTGGAGCTGGATTAGGAATTGTCCTTGTTTCTCCTAAGGGCGATAATTTGGAGTTTGCGGCCAAAGTGGGGTTTAAAATATCTAGTAATAAGGCTGAATATGAGGCGATTATTAAAGGCCTGCGATTAGCCATGGCGGGAGGTGCTCGAAAGGTGCTAGTACATTCCGATTCCCAGTTGATGGTCCGGCAATTCCAGGAGGGTTTTAAGGTTAACGAGGATCGAATGCAGAAATATGTAGACGAAATGAAGAAACTAAGGGAGGAGTTTGAGTCATTCGAGCTTATACAGATCCCCCGAGGAGAGAGTGGTCGAGCAGATTTGCTAGCAAAAATTGCTCAAAGTTTGGTGGACTGTCGGAGTAGAAGTGTCACTCTATTACACTTGGAGAGGAGTAAGGTCGAGGCGGAAGTGGCAGAGATCGAGGAGGTGGAGGATTGGAGATCCCCGATCTTAAAGGAGCTGAAAGAAGGGGCGATAAAGGTGGTGGGGAGATTTTTAGAGCAAGGAGACATTATTTACAAACGGTCGTACGCTGGACCGCACTTACGCTGCGTAACCAAGGAGGAAGGCCGATATGTATTGAGAGAAATGCATGAAGGATGCTGCAGTGATCATAGCAAATCTGGAGCCTTGGTTGCAAAAATTCTAAGGGTAGGATACTTCTGGCCAACGATGAAAGAGGACGCGAAGATAATGGTGAGAAAGTGCTTACAATGCCAGAAGCATGGTCCACTTATTCACCAACCGGCAGAAATGATGACGACGATGAGTGCCCCTATACCATTCGCTCAGTGGGGGATCGAACTGGTGGGGCCGATGCCGCAAGGAACTGGGCAGAGGAAGTTCTTAATTGTGGCGGTAGACTATTTCACAAAATGGGTGGAGGCCGAACCTTTGGCAAAAATCACGGAGGAGAAAGTAAACAAATTCTTATACAACAATATCTGCTGCCGGTTTGGCGTGCCCTAAGTGTTGATTTCCGACAATGGTACTCAGTTCAATGGCAAGCGGATTCGAGCATGGTGTAAAGAGATGAAAATCGAGCAACACTTTGCCTCCGTTGCTCATCTGCAAGCCAATGGCCAGGTCGAAGTAACCAACCGAATTATACTGTATGGGCTGAAAACAAAGCTGGAAAAGGCCTCGGGAGCATGGGTTGATGAGTCGAGCTCGGTACTTTGGGCGTATCGCACAACCCCAAGGTCGACAACAGGAGAAACCCCTTTTAGTTTAGCTCATGGAATGGAAGCGTTGTTGCCGGTCGAGGTCGAACTATCATCCCAGAGGTCGAGCACATATAATACTGAGCAGAACGAGGAACTAATGATGGCAGCCCTGGATACTATCGAGGAGCTGCGTGGAAGAGCAGCAATCAGGGTGGAGGCGTACAAGCAGAGGATGCGAGCCGCTCACGACAAAAAGATGAAAATTCGCAGACTCCAAGTAGGCGACCTGGTTTGGAAACGCGTCGATGTGCTCAAACATGTTGGAAAGCTGGAGCCGAACTGGGAAGGGCCATACCTGGTCGAGCAAGTGCACGCAGGAGGACCGTACTCGCTGAAGGATGCTGAAGGCCGATCACTTTCCAGGTCATGGAACATAGCTAATTTGAAAAAATATTATGTGTGAAAATTTTTTGCTCTTTTTTTAAGACAGCTGGAAAATTCAAACAAAGATGTAAATTGCAAAGTTTGCTCAAAAGTCAATGAAGTTCAGTGATTCTTTTGATTTTACGCGCTTTATTGCACATTTTCTTATGCTTGGAATGTGTGTATAATTTGGATGACAGGATGTGTGTGGTGTGGTTTGACTTGGAAGTCACTTGTTTAGAACATCCCTTGGGGTGGGCAGGTTGGTCGAAGACCTCCTGTTTAGAACATTCCTCGCGGGTGGGCAAGTGTGAAGACCAAAACCCACCATGACTAAGGCCCTTGGGCTGGGTGGTCACTTGTTTGGAACATCTCTTGGAGTGGGCAGGTTGGTCGAAGACCTTCTGTTTAGAACATTCCTCGCGGGTGGGAAAGTGTGAAGACCAAAACCCACCATGACTAAGGCCCTCGGGCTGGGTGGTCACTTGTTTAGAACATCTCTTGGGGTGTGCAGGTTGGTCGAATACCTCCTGTTTAGAACATTCCTCGCGGTGGGAATGTGTGAAGACCAAAACCCACCATGACTAAGGCCCTCGGGCTGGGTGGTCACTTGTTTAGAACATCCCTTGGGGTGGGCAGGTTGGTCGAAGACCTTCTGTTTAGAACATTCCTCACGGGTGGGCAAGTGTGAAGTCAAAATCCCACCATGACTAAGGCCCTAGGGCTGGGTGGTCACTTGTTTAGAACATCCCTTGGGGTGGGCAGGTTGGTCGAAGACCTCCTGTTTAGAACATTCCTCGCGGGTGGGCAAGTGTGAAGACCAAAACCCACCATGACTAAGGTCCTCGGGCTGGGTGGTCACTTGTTTAGAACATCCCTTGGGTTGGGCAGGTTGGTTGAAGACCTCATGTTTAAAACATTCCTCGCAGGTGGGCAAGTGTGAAGATAAATTCCTCGCAATGAAGACCTATAGCCAAATGAGTAAACATGAAGACAAGAGCACCGGGATGAGCGCAACTTCAAGACCAGAGGACGAGCACAAAAGCTTGAGCGTAACAGAGAAGTCCAATGGCGCAGAAAATCCATCATGTTTAAGGCCACGAGGCTGGATGGTCGCATGCTTCGACCACTTCCAGTGGTGGGCATGTGTTCAAAAATTAAAAACCCATCATGTCTAAGGCCGCGAGGCTGGATGGTCGCATGTTTCGACCACCTCCGAGGGTGGGCATGTGTTCAAAAATTAGAAACCCATTATGTCTAAGGCCGTGAGGCTGGATGGTCACGTGTTTCGACCACCTCTGAGGGTGGGCATGTGTTCAAAAATTAAAAACCCATCATTTCTAAGGCTGTGAGGCTAGATGGTCGCGTGTTTTGACCACCTCTGAGGGTGGGCATGTGTTCAAGAATTAAAAACCCATCATGTCTAAGGCCGTGAGGCTGGATGGTCGCATGTTTCGACAATCTCTAAGGGTGGGCATGTGTTAAAAAAACCTTGTGTGAAGGGTACAAGGTGTGTGTGGTACAAGTTATAGAAAAAACCTAGGTAAAGAATCAAGCACAAGGCAAACATAATAGCATAATTAACGAAAAGAATCATCAAAGAGATATCCAAGAATATCAAGGCAACTCATTCAAAAGATTGCCAACAACAAAGATAACTCAAGCAAAACATTCATACTCAAACAGA